AGACCCTTCCTCGGTCGTCCAAATCGGTTGATGGCCACCATCGTGATAATAGCATCGTGCGTGTGTTGGAACGTGCCAGTGGGAACATCGTGGCGGTAGCCGCTGACCTGCACAGCCATGGACGAGTTGCTGAGACCGATAACCTCGCCCTCTACGCGCACCAAGTCGCCGTGGAACACGGGCTTAACCAGGTCCACACGGTCGAATGAGATGGTGGCGGTGGGTCCTAGTGATACGCGAGACGAGATGGTGCCAGCCAGCACGTCCATCAGCTCCAGGATAGGACCAGTTCGCAGCCATCGGCCTTTTTGGCTGTCCTCACCCTGGAACATTTGAGCGGTTAGTGGCAATGAGTCATGGTATTGGTGGTTCTTTCCGTACTATGATGTCGGTGAATGCCAGTCGCGTGTCCTTGGCGCGTACTTGAGTGGGCATGCGGCGCATACGCCACATGTCCTGCGCCGTACCGACGAGCTTCTTGAGCAGCACCATCCTTTTGCTTGGTGATCACTTCAGTGGCTCAGCCTTGTTTCTAACATAGATGATACCCATGGTATTTCTAATTGGATTTCTAAAAAAGCGCGGGTTGAACTGACAATCACTCTTCGAATTCCGCACTCGCAGCGATGGCCACAACGTCGACTCTGCATGTGCTGGATCGGCGCGACGTGCAGCGTATCTGTAGCGGCCAGTCGGTAGTGGATCTGGCGACTGCCGTGAAGGAGCTAGTGGAGAACGCGCTGGATGCCGGCGCGACGCAGATCGAGGTGAAGCTCAAGGAGTTCGGGCGTGATGCTTTCGAGGTGGGCGACAACGGCGCGGGCGTCACACCCGAGAACTACGCGTCGCTGGCACGCAAGCACTACACCAGCAAGATCAGCAGTTTTGAGGACATCGAGACCGTCGCGTCCTTCGGCTTCAGGTGCGGCACTTAGCATGGAAAGAATTTGTCATCATTTTTTTTTTTTTTGAGTTTTTGTTTTATTGCAGAGGTGAGGCGCTGAGCTCAATATGCGAGTTGGCGGCGAGCTTCACAGTCTGTACGAGAACGAAGAACGAGGCTGTGGGAATGTTACTTGAATACGACGCGAGTGGGACGCTGGTGAAGGAGACCAAGAAGGCGCGTCCTGTGGGGACCACAGTGACGGTAGAAGAACTCTTCAAGGTGCGGATAGAGTTTGAGACGGTGGACAGGAGCCGAGCTAATCATGTGTATGAATTGCGAATTGTAGCCGCTGGCTGTTCGGTACAAGGACTTCAAGCGAAATATTAAGAAGCACTACGCCAAGTTGCTCAAGGTTCTGCAAGCGTACGCTGTGAGCTGCGCGAACGTCAAGATCTGTGTATTTAATATCACTGGAAAGAACGCCAGTCGACATGTTGTACTGGCTACTCAAGCGCACCAGACGATGGGGGAGAATATTGCCAATGTATTCGGCACAAAGTTTTTCAGGACACTCCTCCGCGTAGATTTTGAGCTGAAGGGCAGTGGGAAGAGCGAGAAAGACGAGAAGGATGATGCAAGTGATGAGGGTGACAGTGATGGCGAGCAGAAGAGTTCCGCTGTGGAGATTGAAGACAATCTGAGTGGACAAGAGCGCAAGGTAGAGGGGTACGTTTCCAAGGTAGGTGCTGGTGTCGGCCGGAGCGACAACGACCGACAATTCTTCTTCATCAACGGACGCCCGTTTGATCTTCCGAAGGTTCGTAGGATGCTTGATGGATGTAGCTATGGGAGTGTGGTTTGCAACTGACAAGTCTGTAATACTACATAGATGGCGAAGACACTGAACGAAGTTTGGCGGCAATTTGAAATGAAACAAAAGCCAGCATGCGTCCTCAACTTTCTGCTTCCATTGGGCGACTATGACGTGAATGTTACTCCGGACAAACGCGAGACATTTGTGAAGCATGTAAGCTCATATTTCTGGAATTCGATAACCTCACCGCTAATAGGTATTCGTGTTATGGCGTACAGGAGGCAGAAATTATTGATGCATTCAAAACGGGTCTAAACAAGCTCTACGAACCAAGTCGAGGAACATTTACAGTTCAACCTTTAATGACAGCGTTCGCTCGATCCACGAAGACAGAAGAAACTGCCAAGCAATCTGCTCTGGAAGCATCAGAAAAGGATACTCCCGGACAGCCAGAGCGCATCCCCGCCGTGGAAAGTCGAGATGAGGATGACATGCCAACGAATGCTGCTTCGCAAAACGAACAATCACAAGACAATAAGCCCGAAGCTGAGGAGCAGAAGCCTAAACACGTGATTGTCGAAATTCTCCAGCCAAAAATTCCACGGAGCGAAAGCATAGATCGTGTACCTGGTAATCCGAAAGAGAAGGTGAAAGCACGCCAAGAGCCGAAGCCCTCTTCGTCGCCAAAGACAAGTACTGCATCCGCGCCATCATCCCCGGAAGAGATCCTATTGGATCTGCGGAAGTCTGCCAAACGACAGAAGCTTTATTGCTCCATGCCGTCACAACCGACCCCGTCAACGCCTGAAGAGTACATGTGGTCTTTTGACGAGATGATCAAACAGCGGCAACAGTATTTTGAGGAAGAGGTGGAATATGAGCGGAAACGTAAGACCAACCGCCTCAAGGTTCCGAAGACGTGCTCAACCTCTGTCGATGGTACTGCCGTCGAAACAGACAATGAGCTTGCAGCAGCAGCATTGCAACGCGTGCTTAAGAAAGAGGATTTCAAGCGCATGGAAGTTCTTGGTCAGTTCAACCTTGGCTTTATCATTGGCAAGCTGGACAATGACCTGTTCATTATCGACCAGCACGCCAGCGACGAAAAATTCAACTACGAAACGCTTCAACAGACCACAGTAATGCACCAGCAACCCCTTGTCCGCCCACTAATGCTAGAGCTGACAGCTGGAGAAGAAATGATCATCTTGGACCACTTGGCTGTTTTTGCGAAGAATGGCTTCACCTTCCTAGTAGACAAGGACGCTCCCGCTACAAAGAAGTTGAAGCTGCTGTCGTTGCCTTTCACAAAACACACACAGTTCGGTACTGAAGGTAATGTGGTAGCTGTGCTATCTCTTTGTCAGAAATTTATGACTTATTTGCAACTTGTGCAACAGATATTCGAGAACTGGCGTCGCTCCTCATGGATGCACCGTTGAACCCAGCTACTATCCGCTTGCCGAAAGTGATGGCGATGTTTGCGTCCCGAGCGTGCAGAAGCTCCATCATGATTGGAACCGCTCTTCACAAAGAGGAAATGCAGAAGGTAAGGAGATCAAAGCGGTGCATACATGTACTGGCAGATGGTGTTGATGGTTTATTGCTGTCTTCCAGATTGTTCGTAACCTTTCCGGACTGGACCAGCCGTGGAATTGTCCTCACGGGTACGTTATCTTGCCTGCTGTGTCGTACCTGTAACTAACTTGCATTCTTTGAATCGTACAGTCGACCGACTCTCCGCCATTTAGTTGATTTGATGCATCTCGAAGACAGCAACGACAGCAATTAATTTCGTGTAATCAAGCGCATAAGCCTAAGGTTCGTCCTGCGCATGAGTGCCAGCCACTTCAATGTACGGCTATGTGAATAATTATCTAGCTTCAAGGTGTTGTCCCGCTTGGTAGCACAGGAGTGGCGTTGGCGGTGGAGCCAGGAGGTGGCAGTTGTTTGTGATACTTCTCACAAAGTTTGTTGTAGGCATCGATGAGGACTGGATCATTCTCGTCTCCATTGTAATTGGCGTTCACGAACTCGGTCCACTCACGAATATCATTTTCTTCGGGGGAGTGTGTGAAGCACCCACCCTCGCACTGACACTCTCCGCCATATTCCTTCGGCAAATTCTCTGGGGCGACAAACTCCAGCAGTGCTTTTGTGATGTCCTTGTGTCCGCGAAGTACATGGATTCGCTCACGAGTTTTGGGGTTGACAAGTGGTGACACCAGTTTCCAGATGAGGTTAAACCACGCAGGCGGATTGATGATGAAAACCTGGTAGACACGCTCTGGATTGTACGTCGCGACCACCTCGCCCCATTTCTTTGTGTAGTTGACCACATCACTCGACAAATCAGCCATGGAAATGCCCTTGATATCGTAGATTTTCAGCATGTTGCCTTCCGGGAATGGGCGCGGGTCGATCACGTTCCACATGAACTCCATCATCCGCACGTGGTGCATAATAGCTTCGTCTTCCGTGACTCCTCGGGCCGTGAAGTCATGTAGCGCCTTCCGTTGGCCGCCAAGGAACTCGAACGAAATGGGATGACCCAGGCGGTCCTTCTTGTGTGTAAAGTGAGTGAAGCACTCCTTCATGTCCGTGAACACGTGCGACGGGCGCAAAAGAATCGTGTCGACGTCGTGTTCTTTCCGCCACTTCATTGTGGCCGCGTACCGCTCCTTCGCTTCCTCGACGTCACCTTCACAGCCTGCCAAGAAGCGGTTATCCAGCTCGAGTTCTTCGCCGTGGTCATCATCGTCGCCCTCGGATGGACCTTCGCTTTTTCCCATCGTGACACTGACACATTCGACTCGTAATTGTTGAGCCCGCGAGAATCTTCTAGTTGTGAGCAGTAAGCTGATACGCTCGTGAAAGCGTGTAAGGAACAGAACGAGAGCCGACAGCCAAGCCAACAGCTCAAACGAGCCGTTATCCATCGAGTTCATGACAGCAGCTACAGCTGCCAGGAATGATGTCAGTCCCCAGAAGCGTCTGTTGGTCTCCTCTGCGCCTTCCAAGCTTCCAACGGCCTTCTCTGTTTTAACCGCAACATGAAGCACGTGATCATCTCGAGGACCATTTCCCAATGGCTCAGCCTCCACTACAACAGGTGGACGTTCCTGTTTGCCACGAGTTAGCATTTCGCGCGAGAAAAGTGCCGTACCATTAGCCGAAGGACCATTCACGTAGAATCGGAGGATACTCGAAGGATACATCTCCACTTGGAAGGCTTCACCGACCGCTGGGTTGCTCACAATAACACTCTCTGGCAGTGATGATTCGTGCTGGACAGTCACACAACTGATAGAATTGTCTTCTGGTTGTGGCCCACGCTGTAGCTTGAAGAGCGCGTCCTGGAAGAGTTGCATGGCCTTACGTAGCGTCGCAGCGATCTCCGTGCACTGCTCCGGTGTGCGTGCTCGCACACGGAATACTCGCCCATCCGAGCGGATCACTGTGAGAATCCGTGGGAACTGATCGTTCACTTCAATGTGCAGAATATCCGACAGATGAACAGTCGAGCGCACCTCACCCAACGCCATGGCCGACATCGAAGCCGTATCATCATCAGGGATCGACCCTGTCGCCTTAAAGCACAGCATCTCGGCCGTCGTTAGCATGAAGATCCGCCACTTCCACAACGCCACATTCGCACTCATACGACGACTCGCTAGGGATCGTCCACCCATCGTAAAAGTTCCCAGGTACAGAATCTCGTCCATCGTATTGTCCTGCTCCTCCAGCAAGCAACTGTACAAGATGCCGGGCATTGCATGGGTGCTACTGCTCGTCAGACCGCCACCCAGCGTGTTCAGACTGAAACTTCCTCGACTACTCACATCCGGAGTCCCAATTGCAGCCACTTCATTGTCCACCGACGGGTTTCGATCCATCCCAAAGGCTGGCAGCGTCATCGACGTCGGGATCTTCTCTCCTGCCAGCGGTGACAGCTCCGGGTCGCTCTCTCGCTCCACATTGGGGTTCGAGTTCTGCCTAATCCTCGAGCTCTTTGGACTGCGATATCCAGCTCGTCGCTGCACTAATTGCCTCGTACACAAGTCGCACACTCGCACCTCCTTCATGATGCCCAGGTGAGGCAGAGGCACTTGATTCTTGCTGTGCACGCCACATACCGCCTGTCCGCAGTTACGGCATCGATGCTACAATAAAGACCGTCAATATCATACAGTAAAGCCAATAATACTCGATAAAACCCACCCGGAGTCGCAAAAGTCGGAGCGGGGCATTGCACACGTGACACTTCGAGTCCGCGCTATGTGGGCCCATGCAGACGTCCAGCGACCGCGTGCTGCCGAAGTCCGAGGCTGTGGGCGCTGCGCCGTCCTCGCCATTGGGGATAGGAGTGCTGTTGCTCTTGAAATGCGCCAGGAAGGCGGCTTTGCGGCGCTGGAGCTCCTCCACCATCGAGGGCTCCGATTCGCCTGCGCTAGGTGACGCCGGAGACGGAGACGAGGACGAAGAGGATGGAGCCACGTCGGGCGTACGTTGCTCGCGGGAAGTTTCGCGCAGGAAGCGCGGCATAGCGAGGCGTTCGCCAGCCCCCATGCCAGCGATGGCGACAGTCTTGCGCTTGTGTTTTTACTGTCGAAGTGTGAAGTGATGAGAGCTGGGGCGGAATGTGTACAGGACGACGTGCAGCGACACGTGATTGTATCGATTATAACGGATCCTGTGTATAGTTGTTTCGATCATTTCTGGATCTTTTACTATGCTGGTAAATTCTTTTCTTGGTAATGTTCGAAAACGTGATTCACAATGTGTTTTCTTTTCCAATATTTATTAAATTAAAGAGGTTATTTAATGCAATTTCTCGTTTACGTGACGCAAAGGCTGGCCAGGGTGGAGTTATGAATCCAACGTGTCTCATGGTAACTTAAACGAAAATATGATGTTCGTTCTCGAATTTCTGAAAAATGGAAAGGCTCTTTAACGGACTTTGCTGCCCCTACGTCCAAGACGACGCTGCTCAAATGCATGCTGCGGCACCACGCAGTCTGTTTGTCTTGAGCCCACGTGGGTTAGCGCGTCGCTGGATCGCTCGCGAGGTTGTTCATGCCCAGCCGGGACCGACTCCTGGATCATGGTGTTTACGACGAGCATGGATCCCTCGACTAACTGCCTCGTAATTCTTCGCTGTGAGCCAATCGTAAAGCGTAAAGTCCTGTTTTATAGCCAATCACATGTAGAAAGTGAATAAGTCGGGAGCACTTCAACCTGAGCATCTCAAGTTGAGATTGCTTATCCCTCGGTTCGCGAAGACTGCAGCAGATTGAAGAGAAACGCTTCTTGAGTCAGTCTTCGCCCAGTTGATCGTCAGTGGCTTTGGAACGATAATGTGTCGACTATATCGTCAAGTTCATGGATCGAAGCTCTGCCTCCATCCACGCTACGGCACGACCGAAACTTTGCGTTCAGCGTTGCATAAAGCCTCCACGTCGCAGATATCATGGTATATCTAGAGTCTAGAATCTAGGCCACATGAATGTTTCTAGATTCAAGAGACATTCATTTGGTGCTGCTCATGGCCTGAGTCAGGCGCGTTAACGGCACGACAAAACCTTGTCAGCGTCAATGCGCTTTACCTGGGTGGCAGATCTATTCGAACCCAACAGCAGCCTGAAAGTACATCCCGTCCAATTTAGCTCGACTTTGACGCACAACCTTCCGTCACGTCATGGTGATCGTCATTGCTAGAGGGCACAGATCTTGTCAGAGCCCGTCGTAACGTTTTGGTTTCCTGGAAAGAGCCTCGTCCAGCGACTTGATGCTGGGCTGTAGCCAGCTCCGCGTCCTTCCGCGCTCGTGCTTTTTTGCGAGCACCGGCGATGAATCCAGCCCCGATCAAGTGAGCGCCGGACGCCCAAGCAGCGAAACCTCGCTTTCGGAGAGGTGACCACTGTCGAAAACGTAGGCTCATTGGCAGATCTCCCGGACACTTCCAGTCACTATGCGTGGGCGACTAGCAGGATCGATGGTCGACACGTGCCTCTCTAGTAACACACCGCTTACACCGACTCCGAATGACCCGTCGGACGATAACTCGATCACTTCATCAGGTGTCGGAGACGCCATCGGCATCGCCGACCGGGAAACGGGACATCGATGCAGCCTCACAACACCAAAAAGTGAGCTACGATCCCCTTCCTCCGGTCTCGACGCTCACTATGGCTGTCTCGACTCGATCACGGCAGAGATTTATCTTCGCGGTTTAAGTGCAGAAAGCAAGTCCAAGGACAAGTCAATCGACTTCACGACCGAGTTTGAAGCCGCTCAACGTCAACAGCACGGGTGTTTGCAGCTATGCACCATCAGTTGGCAACACGTTTCGTACATTATTCAGCCAAAGAAGCCGTGGTTTTCCGGGCGATTCGGACGCAACAAGAAGAATCAGAGACCGGTAGATCTTAAGCCTCGCAAGATTCTAAACAATGTTTGGGGACGATCAGGGCCTGGAGACCTGACCGCTATCATCGGTCCGTCCGGAGCGGGTAAAACAACATTACTCGACATTCTAGCAGATCGTGTACCCCCTGGTGGACCAGGGGTACGTGTCGAGGGAATCGTAAACGTGAACGGTAACCCTCGAGATTCGCGCACATTCCACTCGATCATGAACTACGTTTCACAGGATATGGCATTCCTCGGGTCTTTCTCCGTTCTAGAGACTCTACAGATCGCAGCAGGTCTAGGACTACCTAGTCACGTGCCTCCTCTTACACGTGAGTCTCGTGTTCAAGACGTGATCGATGCAATGGGATTACGCTCCTGTATGTACGCAAATGTTGGTGATGTATTTCACAAAGGCATCTCGTCAGGTCAACGTAAACGACTCGGTATCGCCGTTGAGTTACTATCTAATCCAGCTTTACTACTGCTCGATGAGCCAACGTCAGGACTCGACGCTTCCTCGGCTCGAAGTGTGATGCAACACATTGAACGACTCTGCCAAGAGAGCGGCAAGAACGTCATCTGTACGATCCACCAGCCATCGTCTTCGGTGTTCGAAATGCTGACGAATCTAATCATTCTAAGCGATGGCCAACTCGTGTACTTTGGAGCGGCATCAGCAGCACTTAACCACTTCTTTTCGTTGGGTTATGTGTGCCCAACTTACTCTAATCCTGCAGAGTATTTTGTTCATTTGGTGAACAAAGATTTCCACACAAGTTTAAGTCTCGACCCTTTCGTGCACGCACTGGAAGATGGCCCGGAACCACAGCGTCTACGTGGGGAGATAGCACGTGACCGCTGTCTGGGGGATATGAACCTCATCAACTATGAACTACTACGAGCGATGCGCCCTTCGAGACTTGATCAGTTCTCTGTTCTCTTACATCGAAACTTGACCAATAATTGGCGTCACCCGGGAGTTTTCTGGCTTCGAGTACTCATGTACATGTTGCTGTCATTCATGGTCGGTACAATGTACTTGAGCTCGAACAGTGAGATCACGAGTTCTGCGATGGTGCCACTACTCTTCTACGTGCAAGCTTTCCTGGTTTTCATGTCGGTTGCTGCTCTACCCGCTCTATTGGAGCAACGAGCCGTACTGGAACGCGAGATACGCTCTCATTCGCTGCATCTGGCCAGCTATACGACCGCTAACCTGCTTGGTGCACTACCTGGCATCGCCTTTATCTCGTTACTGGCGTCAATTATCGTCGTATATTTCGCTCGCGTCCACTCTTTTTGGTCATTTCTTCTCAACTTAACACTGTCGCTCGTCACCTCGGAGTCGATGATGCATCTACTGGGCGCTGCAGTGCCACACTACATCATGGGCATCGCTCTAGGAGCTGGACTCTTTGGTATGTTTATGCTGTGTGAAGGTTTCATGGTTCCGTTCGCTGCTATCCCAACGTACTGGAAATGGGGTTACTATTTGGCCTTCCACACATACTCGTTCGAGTCCTTCATGTTCGAGCATTTCTCGCAGGTTGACACCCAGGAAGCCTGGGATTTACTCAAAAGTTACGGCATGGAAAACGTCAACGTATCTCGAAATATGCTTATCCTCGTCGGATACGCCGCAGGTCTTCAACTCGCAGGCATCGCTGTGCTATTTGTTCGGTTTGGTCGTCATAAACATTAAATAAACTAAAATTCAACATTAGCATAACATCGTCATAACTGCACTCACGCTATCCATGATGAGTCACGTTTAGGGAAGAGAAGTCACGCGAAAGTGTTGATGCAACACAAAACCCAACGTGCGTCCCTCGGCACACAGTAGCCATGACGTTGAAAGCGTTGGTCGGTACTGTTAAGGATCTATGGCGCATGCGCTCAATGCCTGCCCAAGTGCGACCGAAGGACACGCGGTCCGTCATCACCGACATCATCGTATGTACCCAGATATGTTACCTTACAAGTCGATTTATCACGCTAACAACCTCGTTATGAGATTTACAGGGCGAGGAAAGCCAGAAGGGAAAGGTACTGAACGCTGGGCCGATTCTCGCGCTCATGGACGTGGTAGCAGGAGCCATTTCGTATCGGTACGGTCATCCACTAAAGATTTTAACTCACTCGTATTTCTAACGTTAAAGTGCAATGCAGCCTGTCGATGGGGGCAGCAGCGACGATTTCGTTCGACCGTGTGGACTTGGTTAAACCGGTTTTCCATGGAGACCACGTTCGGTTGGAAGGAGAAGTTATCGGGCTTGGGAAATCTTCCATGGCCGTGCAAGTGAGAGTCTTCCGTCATGATCTAAAGACTGATACCCTTCAGCACACTCACGACGCGATCATCACGATGGTGGCTATCAATCGCTTCGGACGACCAAGGGAGTGTCTACCGGACCTGTTCGACCCGGATAATGCTGATCACTGCTTGAAAATGAGCGAACTGGCAAAGCAGCGTAAGGATCTCTCCTCTCTATGGAGACACGAACAGGATGCAGTGAATGCACTGCCGTTCATCAAGCAATCAGACTTGGCTACACTGCAGAGCAAAGCTGAACGCGTTGCTGTGAGCGACACGGTGGTCGAAGTCCGCAATTGTTTCCTGCCTCGCAATCTCAACCCGCACGACACAGTTTTTGGCGGTGATCTACTGGTTTGGATGGTACGAGTTATCCTGTATCAACGAAAACTTGTCTAAAAGTGTTTGTTTTGCTTTCACAGGATAAAATCGCTTTGCATTGTGCGCAAAAGTTCACCAGATCCGAGAAAATGGTGACCATCGCGATGAACAGGGTACTGTTCAAGTTGCCGATCTTGATGCTCGACATGGTTCGGATGCGAGCTCGCGTAGTTCACGTCGAGTACGTTTACATCGGAATTTCACGATAAGCTATCGGATACTTTATCATGCTATGCAGTCATTTCCATCTAGAAGTTGAAGTGGAGGTGTTTATCCACTCCATTATAAGTGGCGGGGAACGCAAGTCACACAGCGGGTACGTCGAGTCCTAAGCTGTATGAAACTGGCTGCTAACGGTGCTTGTTAGCTACTTCACGGTGCTGAATCTCGACGACAACAACAAGTTCAAGCCGATTGAAAAAGGTCTCAAAATTGACGAGACCAACCAAGAAGAGATGCGGATCCACATGAAGGCCCAGAAGCGACGTAACTTCGAGGGAGAAGATACAAACCTGCTCGCGTTGAAGACTCGAATTCTCTCTGGTGAGTTTGCAGCAGATCAACACAAACATCAGTGATGCGTGCGTGAATCACGTTTCGCACAACGAGACGAAGAGAAAACGTCCGTCTACAACGCTCTCCTTACCATGTCTAATGCTACTTCGTTATGCTGAAACGCATTCATTAAACCATACTGATGCTACGTAAGACTGCTGGTTATTAACCAGTGCATTGGTTAAACCGGGGACACCTTCTCTGATTCCGAAGCAGTATCGGCCGTAGCCTCTGAATCCGACGCAACCACTGTCGTCATGAGCGGTGCAGTCGGTTCCTCTGAGTCTTCGTCGGGCTCTTCCTTCCCGCAGCTCTTAGCCTTAAGGGGATCGATCTGCGCAAGCTCCACGAAGCGCTCTCGCTGCGCCGCTTTCTGCAGCTTAGTGATGGTCCGTAGTCCCAGTACAAACTCGCCCACGACGCACAGCAGCAACATGGTCGACGTGAACCCAATGCTGCCAACAAACACTAGACCTATACACTACATCAGCATTGTTTTATCCTGTATATACAGGATAAGTCACCTACCGACGTAATGCCACGGCGACACCGGATCGCAGTGTTCCAGCAGGATATCCACCGGTATAAGGTCGTCCCCCTCCTCCTCCGTCGTATTAGCCCACCGTGAGATCATTAGATTGTACACCGACGCCTTGGACAGTCCTTCCTGGAGTTGCACGCAGCTCAGCACGTTTTGGCACGCGCTGTCTCCCAGCGCGGCCAAGGCGTCCGTCCCGTTCGCGGCGTCTTCCAGTTTGCGAACGCTCTGGCCGCTTTTCAAGTCCCTCGCGTCGTAGAATTGCACCTCGAGCGGCTGGGGCGATACGATGTTCATCGTGTAGCATGTGTGGCCGTACAGCGTGAGCAGGAACCGGTCGCTCTTCCCCAGCAGCAGTTCGTCCTCGCACGGGACGCGTAACTGCCCGGTTTTGGTACACGACCGCAGCGCTATAAGACAAGACCCGGACGTCAATTACCAGCTTCACTAGTCGAATGCAGTGGCCATACCGTCGCTCTCCTGCACCAGCAACGCCCCCACCAGCAGCCACCAGAGCCTCATTCTCGCCGGTCGAAGAATGTCGGACGGTCCGTCCGCTGCGGACGGATTGGATGAACGGTCGTTCAACTTGCGATCTTCTGTCGCACACGCGTGTCAGCATCTGTCATTTGGTGGGTTATAACCCAGGTTTTTTGTGTTTGGGTGACCACTTTAATGCAGGGTTAAATCGTTTTATAACATTGAGGTTGTAGATATCGCTGGTATGTTTAAGCTTTGAAATTGAAAAACCCAATTACAAGATCGTCTCCACATCCATCCCGAAGCCAACCTCTGCCAATCCTGCTTGATGGCGGTGACTCGCAGTCTAGCAATGGCAGCGACCGATGCGGACGCCGCGGCAATGCAGACGGTGCGTGTGTTCAAGTACGCAGCGATGGTGGTGTTGCTGGTGATCACGGCGGCGTCGGCTTTGCTGCCGTTGTGGGTATCCAGCCGTGGCACCCGAACGGCGCAGAACCTGCTGAGTCGGAAGCTGCCGTTCGCCACGGCCGGCGTGTTCCTCGGTTCCGGCTTGCTGCACTTACTGCCTGACGCTGTCAAACTGTACGACGAGGTGGTGGCGAGGATGGACGCACCGCCGCATTGGATGACAGCGTTCCCGAGCGTGTATTTACTGTGTGCACTGGGCTGCTCCATCGTCTGGAGCGTGGACCTACTGAACATGGGCAACTCGGGCAAACTCATGGCGGTGGCCAGTGCTGCACGTCCAGACTATGAGACCAGCATGTACAGGGTACAGATCCCGTCCGTGGCGTCATTCGGGTGGAGGAATCGATCGGTCTCGGTAGACGGCAAGGAACGGTTCTACTCGTGCTCGTGTGGCAGTGTGCCGTCGCCGTCCATGTTCCATCGTGCTGCTAAGATGGAGGAGAATACGTGTCTGCTTACACCCACTGGAGTGAAGGTTCGTCGAGAGTATTTTACACTTAAATGGCGTTAAATTGCGCTTACAAAGTCGTTAATTCCTAGGTTGCGAACGGAGCACCGCAGTGTGTGATGGAGTATGAGACGGCAGCAACAGGGCTGCTAGAGGATGAACATCACGATGATGCGGAAACTACAGTTAGCGAGCACATTGTGTTCTCGGGCGAGAGCTATTTCCTTCCCTATTTATTAGCTGCGCTCTTCTCGGTGCACTCTTTAATTGCGGGTTTTGCCCTGGGGGTTAACCACTCTATGGATCGGACTGCGGTGGCAACCACCGTCGCCATCTTCAGCCACAAGGTACGACCGTGATATTGAAGTGAAATTGTGGCAACTTGCTGACATTTGGTCAAACTTTTCAGTTCATCGAGGCCATGTCAGTTGGTGCCAACTTTGCCAAGGCCAAGAGCAGCATTGCGCACCAGCGATCTATTGCTGTGCTTACGCTCTACAGCTGTATGACGCCGCTGGGTATTTTCTTGGGCATGGTGCTGTCCGATTCATTGCGTGGCAGCAGCGCGCTGACTATGGAGGCAGTGGCGCTGAGCATCGCGTCGGGCAGCTTCATCTACTTGGCATTTCACGAACTTTCCGAAGAGAACGCAAGCCAAGAGACCAATTCCGCCGAGAAGCTCGCGCTGTTCTCCGTGGGCATCTCCAGCATGGCTGTGCTGGCCGCGTGGGCATAAAATAACAGCAGGATGTCCGTGCCAAAGACCTGCAAGTTGAGGTCACCGACACATTCAGCAGGTATGGAGAAACCCATTGCCACAGCCCCAGCTCTTGTCATTAGTAACAGAATCCGCGTCAACTACACG